GGAGAAGAGTATTTAATATACCAAGGACTGCTAGGAGAACAAACAAGTTTGTCCTAGAAAGGGTGAGACCAGGCTGCTTCTTAGAGGCAAGGATTCTGAAGCTTCATCTGACATACTCTGGACATGTTGCAAGGTGGGATCAGTCCTTGGAAAGGGACGTCATGCTTGGGAGGGTGGAGGGACAGCGCAGAAGAGGAAGACCCTTGATGAGATGGATTGATTCAGTGACTGTGGTAGGTATATCAGAGACAGTAAGATTGGCACAGGATAGAACAGGGTTTACAGCTGTTGTACATAGGGTTCCTATGAATCACAGGTGACTTGATGGCACATAACAATAATGTTATGTTATATTATAATTAAATAGTGCATTGCATTGTTGTTGTGTACCATTGAGTCCAAACCAACCCATAGACCCTCCTGTGGGTTTTCAGGAGGAGATTGGCTATCCTTTTTCCACGGAGCAGCTGTTGGACTCGAACCACATGCCTTTGGGATTGCAGCACAGTTTCTTGCCACTAGGCCACCAAAGCTCATACATACTTAAAACTGGCAGAAGATATCTATCATCTATCTTTTTATATATAAAAAGTGACTGCAGCAATAAGCTCAAGAGTGTCAGAATGATAAGGATGACACAGGATAGCACAGGGTTCAGATCTGTCATTCACAGGGGTGCTATAAGCTGTACTCAGCTCAAGCACCTAACAACAAGAACATATATATAAATGATTATAACTCAGCTGGAAAAGAAAAAGATATAAAGAGTTTGCTCCTGGGCTCTAAGTGACCTTAAGAATGAAAATCCCCAAATACCATAGTAGTATTCAACTTTGTAAATTCTGTTGAGATTATAAATATTATTATTATTATTAATTCTAGTTTAATTCTCCAGGCTGAGTGGGCAGAATTGAGGCAGAGAAGCCTGCCTCTGACACCAGCCCAAGCAGAGAAGGCTGCCTCTGACCCTGCCCTCTGTCTGCAGCAAGCTCAGCTGGTGTCAGTAAAGCACAGCTTTCTCCTCAGCACCCTCTGAAGATTCACACATATTCCATAGTCACAGGATGATTGGAGGCAGTTTCCAGACCTTCAATCAACATTCACATCCTTGCCATCACCCACTCCCTACTTCCTTCACCTCACCCAACCCACAGAGTGTTCCTTCACAGAGATTTCCCCAACCAATCTCACCGTACATGGATCTCTTGTTTTATATTCTTGAGCACATTTATAAAGGTAATACTTTATTTTAGGGAGAATTTAAGTAGTGGTTTGTATTTTTTGTTATTTTTGCTTGCCTTTTCAGATTACAGAATAAACTACCTAGGACAAGTGGTCTTGACTTTTCTCAGTTGTTTTGGAGTTGATTCTGACTCATAGGATCTCGTGTATGTCAGAGCAGAACTGTGCTCCACAGAGTTTCCAGTGGCTGAGTTTTAGGGAAGTAGAATGCTCCAAGGTCGTTGCTCCAAGGAGCCATTGGGTGGACTCAAACTAATAGCCTTTTGGTTTTCAGGCAAGTGCGTTAAGTGTTAACAGCACCCAGAAACTCTGCTTTGCCTTTTACTGCTCTCGTTAGGTGCCGTTGTGCCAATTATGACTCATAGAAACTCTATTTGTCCTATCCTGGGCCATCCTCCATAATCTCTGATATGCTCAAGCCTATTGCTACAGTCACTGTGTCAGTCCATCCTGTTTTTCTCTCTGACCTTCCACCTTTCCAAGCATGATGTCCTTTTCCAAGGACTGACCCTTCCTAACTACATGTTCAAAGTATGTGAGATGAAGTTTCACCATCCTTGCTTCCAAGGAGCACCCTGCTGGCACTTTCTCCAAGACATAATTATTCTTTTGACAGCCCATGATCTCATGGACTCTTCTCCTACGTCACAACTCAAAGGTATTGATGTCTTTTTTCTCCTATTCTTTTTTTCCCCCCAAAAAACCCCTATGCATCTCCCTTCCTTCTTCCTTACTCCTTATTTCTCCTCCACATTCCTAGAGTACCCCACATACTTAGAAAAATATGTAGCTGTTGACATCTTTTAGCTCTAAGGGTTTGTAGAATTAATCTTCTAAGACATACACAGTCAAGTAAAAGGTGCTACTTGTGACCCAACTTTAAAACTTTTAGCAAACTCTGCTTTTGAGTCTGAAGCCAAGACTGAGAGACAATTATCATCAGCAATAGAGTCACTTATAAAAGGGCTGGAACAATTGATAATTTTCAATTTTCCAAAGCTATTTCCACCTACTCAAGATTCTCAATAGTTTTAAGTTTTGACCAACTAATTGGGTCACTTCTTCTCATCACCCTGGTATAAGGCTAAAACTCAACCAAACTCTCGTTATTTTGATGCCCTTGAATTGGAATTGAATCATAGTGACCACCCACTGATGGGCCAATAGTTATGTGACAGAATTAACCAGGAAAATGTGACTGTTAAAATAGAAAATAATATTGTGAATTAAGTAAAGTGCAAAAGCAGCTTTGAAGGGGGAGCTACTTAATAGAGGGTGCAGTGAAAGCCACCAATAGGGAAGTGGAAGGAATCAGTCTGATGGAATGATTTCCCCGCCTGGCTCTAGAAAGATGATGATCTTTCCTTCCTGTCCAAAGGCTGCCAGCCTGAACTGTGACCATCTAGATCTTGTGCTCACACACAGACTTCCTCGCTGAGATGAAGCAGGAGGTGGGTGTGAACCTCGAATCCTTCCCCTGGATGGCAGCTGCCCATCTAATCAACTTGAACAGCTTTAAGTCTCTAAGAACTCAAGTTTTCAGAATCAAATAGTGCCTTTAGTGGTGTCTGATGTGGGTTTCTAGAAATAGGGCATTTAAAAAAAATGGGGAAAAACACAGTCACTAAGAAAGTGTATTGGTATTTTTAGAAAGTGTTGTTGTTGTTAGGTGCCATCCAGTGACCCTGTGAACAATAGATCTGAACCTTTTCCTGTCCTGTGCCATCCTCACAGTCTCTGACACACTCAAGCCCATTGCTGCAGTCACTGTGGCAATCTATTTACCTGGTTGAGGATCCTTTGATTTTAATGTTTTTATTTTCTCTTTATTTTTAAATAAAATTTTTATATTATACTGTTTACTTACAAAGTTCATATACATTGTTTCTGACATTGGATCTTTCCCATTTCCTCTACTCACCCCTACCTCTATCCATCAAACTGTGCAATCCTATGATTACCCCTCTACCCTTCCCTCATACCTCTGTTCCTACCCTCTCCCCCTTGGATTCTCATACACGTTGTACTACTTACCCTTCTACTTCTACAATAATGGTCTTATAGATATTTGTCTTTATGAGACTGAGTTAGTTCACTTAGTATAATGCTCTCCAGTCCTTTCCAACTTGGGTAATGGTTTTCAAAATCATTACTCCTGTGTGCTGTGTAGTATTCTTCTTTTATGCCAGCCCTTCACCTTCCCAAATGTGATGTCCCTAAGCAAGGAAGAGCCTCCCTAGCTACTTCCTCAAAGTATGTGAGGCGGAGCTTTATCGTCTTTGTCTCCAAGGAGTACCCTGGCTGCAATTTCTCCAAGACTAAGAATATGAAATCCTGTTTTCAGTAATGCTGACTACTTGTTATGAAAAGAAATTATTTTTCTAATAAGTACAAAGAGGCAGGAGATAAAATCAGCTTGTTTCAGAGGTTAACTTAGTTTAGTAAGAGAGGGCAGGGACCCTGAATCTGCAGATTCGTGACCACTGCAAATTGCTCAACTGCTCTGTTGCTCAGTGTCCGGACCTTTCCAATGAGATAATGACCGTCTGCACCTGGATTAATGAGCTGTGCCATCAATTGATGGAATGCACTCAAGGATAGCTTGCTGGAGAAAGAACCCAGATAAACAAACCTTGCATGCATAGTATGGAGCCATGATGGTAAACTGTGAAGGAAATAGAGAGATTGGGTACAGAAAACACCATGCACACAATGAGAAAAGGATTTAAGGAACAATTTGTTAAGAGCTTAGTTTTAGTCATTGACTATGATGCATTGAGGGAAAGGACAGATATAAAAGGGAAAATTTTCAACGTTCTGGTTTCCCTTCATGTATAGCAATGTAAAGAGCCAAGATGAGAAGGAATGATATAGTTCTGGGGGCAATGAGGGTTGGTGTGATGAAATTAGTGAGACCGGCTCAGGATGGGGAAGGGTTCAGAGTGGCTGTATGGAGGGTCACTATACGTCACAGATGATACAATGGCACATAACAAGAACATACTATATGGGTTGTTTTTTACGTAAAACTTTTGTTTAGAGTCAACAAGACTTCGGGGGAGGGCCTTTGTATTTAAAACTCAGTTTTCATTATATTTTGGAGGAATCTTCTAAGTGGTACAGCACTCTTCTGTCAATATGCTGTACTGCAGTAACCTGGGGTTGCTGTGATGCTGAACCTTGTGCCACTGGGGTGTCAAATGCCATTAACGGTTTGTTTGGTAGAGCTCCCAGTTTAAGACAGGTGTGGAAACAGGAGTGTCATCCACTTCCTAAACAACATGCCTCTGAAAACTCTGTGAACTTTGAGACACAAATTATAGAAAGGTTTCAGGTCTTTTGTTTATAGGGTCACTATGAGTTGCACTTGACTCAACAGCAATGAACAATAACAACAAGATAGCAAAGCAAGCTTATGATTCCAGTGTAAACTTTAGACTGGAAACACACACGAATGTTGCCTCTCAATTCCCACATGGAGTTATACTCAATACTTAACGAATTTCTTCATAAGGGCCCAAGAGGACAGGAGAGAGAAATTACCATCACATTGTTAAAGTGTTAGGTGATTGATTCTCCAGTTTCTTTAATTCAGATCTATGTTATCTGAAGCAAATATGTGATAAATCCTAACAGAGTAAAGGCTTGTTTTAGTGCTAGAGAATCCAATGGGCTGATTTTCCTTATGGACATGTGATTATTATTTGGCTTATTTGCAGCCTTCTTATTATCCTTATCATGAAAATGATTTTTCCTACCTTTAGGTGCTGTATCTAAGAACTGACTTTGAAGATTGTCAAGTTGTTTGATTGTCAGGGTTCCATTTTCTTCTTTTTCTACAGGTGGAGGACGTATTGGTGGTTGGGAGTCTGGAAAGACTTTGATGTCGCCATTGATGAAGAAACAGTCTTGGCCTAAATACAATTCATTCTGGATTTTTGTAGCTGTTTCAATGTGATAGCGTGCTACTTCTGTTAAGTTTTCAACACTGAAAGAGGAAAAATAGCTATCTTGATTAAGGATTCTTATGAAATAGTGTTTGCTTATAATACATATATTGTTGTTAGGAGCTGTTGAGTGGACCACAACATATAGTGAGTGATCCTATAAACAACATATTGCAAATAAAGACATTTTATAGTTAACTTGGATAATTCAATCTGTGTCTTTAAAAAGTCCAGTTTCCCCTCAAATCCATTTTTCAAGATAGGGCAGAGTAGAAAACCAATTTTCTATAGATAGAAAATATAACACATGCTCATCACTATCCATACTTGTAAGAAAAGAAAATTGAACAAAACAACACATTGTGGGAGTTAGGACTGACTCATAGCTGACCCTTTTCTGGATTTTCAAGTCTGTAAATCATACAGGAGGAAACGGTTGATCTTTCTCCCTCAAAGCCAGTGGTGGAGATGAACTGTCAAGAGGAACTCAGCCTTTGAGTTAGCAGTGCAACTCTCTATGGTCTATGTCATCACTGTTCCCTAGCAGTACCGGTAGTTAGAAACCACTTATAAATGAAAAAGTTGATACAGCACTTGTCTGTCAGTTTACTGTATTGGGAAAACTTGTGGGTTGCTGTGATACTGAAAGCTATTCCACTTGTATGCCAAATGCTACAAGGGTTGGTTACCCATGGTGGACAGGTTTTAGGAGAATTCCCAGATTAAGACAGACTAAGAACAAAGGTTGGTAATCCAATTCCTTTTTTTCTCATCAGAATGATTTAATAGTGTAGAAAAGTGCAATTTAGATGAAAAATAGTCATGTAAAACCAGACAAGATTGACTATTTTTATTGAAGTATGAGATAATGCTTAGAGTTTTAAAATTTCTAATACAGCTATAGTTTCTTAAGCCTTGATGACCAAATTTGTTTTATCCACCCAAAGGTATTATTTACTTTTATAATCTCCATTTATAATTAATGCTGCTGTGCTTCATATCCACTTCTTAAGAAACAGGACTCTGAAAATCCTATGAACAGTAGAAGAATGTGGATAGTTAATAGCAGTGTTGCAGAGAAGCCCAGCTTGGAAGTTAGTTGAAATGAGCAAAAATAAGGACAAAGTTTAATAACTGGAACATGGAAATGTAGTTTGAATGTTGGAATACTAGAAACTGAAAATGAAACACATAAACAACAACATTCCAGGTATTAGTGAGATGAGATTTGGATACTTTGAATTAGATAATCACATACGTTGGAAATGAAAAACAGAAGAATGGTGTTGTATTCATAGTGAAAAAAGTCCATTTCAAGTTCTACCCTGAAATGCAATGCTGCGAGTGATAGGTTATTATCCATACTCATACAAGGTTGTTGTTGTTAGGTGCTATGGAGTTGAGCATGACTCATAGCAACCCTATGAACAAAAGATCTGAACCCTGTTCTATCTTACGCCATCCTCACACTTCCAGACACACAAGAGCCCATTACAGCAGTTGCCAAATCAATCCACCTGGCTGAGGGTCTTCCTCTCCTTTGCCGACCCTACACTCTTCCCAGCATCATGTCCTTCTCCAAGGAATAGTTCCTACTAGCAACATGCCCAAAGTATGTGAGGTGAAGCCTCATCATTCTTGCCTCCAAAGAGCACTCCAGCTATACCCTTTCCAAGATATATCTGCTCGTTTTCTTGGTCATCCACAAGACGTTCAGTGCTCTTCTCCAACACCATAGCTCAAACATGTCAATTCTTTTCTGTCATCCTTATTCATTGTCCAACTCTCAGACGCATAGCAAGTAATGAGAAAGACTATGCCTGAATTAGATGCACCTCAGTCCTCAAACTGACATCACTACTCCTCAATATTTGGAAAGGTCCCTAACTGCACATTTCCCCTGTGCAAGGTGGCTCATTATTTTCTGACCGCTGATACCAAGGGTGTTAATTGTGGATCCAATCAAAATGAAGCTGTTGACAGATTCAATCTCCTCTTCATCCATCATGATGCTGCCAATCGGTCCAGTGATAAGAATTTTCCTCCTAACACTGAGATGCAATCCATACCGAAGGCTGCATTTCTTGATCTTCTGCAACCAGAGCTTCTAGCCCTCCTCACTTACAGAAAGTAAGGTTATGCCATCTGTATAAATGCAGGTTATGGATGAGTCTTCCTCCAATACTGATGTCATACTCCTCAGAGTCCAGTTTCTCAGATGATTTGCTCAGCATACAGATGGAATAGGTATGGAGAGAGAAGACAATCCTGGCACACTCCCTTCCCAATTTCAAATCATGCTCTGTTTGCACAACAGCCTCCTGGTCCAGGTGTAGGTTCCCCACGAGCACAATCAGTGCTCTAGAATTCCAAGTCTTCTCAATGTCAGCCACAACACCTTTGCATAGTCAATAAAGTACAAATAGGCATGCCTGTTAACTATTCTTGATATAGTACCTACATCTTAAGCCAAAGATGAAGAAATTGAGACTTTTTACCAAATCGTGTAGTCTGAAATTGACTGAATATGCAATCAAGATTAATAATAACTGGTGACTTGAATGCAAAGGTTGGAAACAGTGAAAAAGGAATAGTATTGGAAAATATGGCGTTGGTTATAGAAATAAGACTGGAAAGAAAATGGTCACATTTTGTATTTTCAGTGATTTATTATGAAAATACCTTTTTAAAAATATATAAATGATGACTTAACACATGGATGGCACCTAATGGGCTACATAGGAATCAAATTGACTACATATGTGGAAGAAATCACAGGAGAAGTTCTACATTGGCAGTCAAAAAAACTAAGCAAGGCTTGGTCTGTGGATCAGATCAATTACTCATGTGCAAGTTCAAAATGAGGCCGAAGAAAATGAAAATAAGTCTATTAGAACCAAGGTATAATCTTGAATCTATTCCTTATGAATTTCAAGATCTTCATAAGAATAGGTTGAAGCGTTGAACACTAATCATCAAAGACTGGATAAATTGTGGGATAATATCAAGAATGAATTCATCATCCATGAAAAGAGAGAAAGGTCATTACAAAGACAGAAGAGAAAGAAAAATATCCAAATAGACATCATAAGAGACTCTCAAGACTGTACTGAAGTATCAAGAAGCCAAGACAAAGGGGAAAAAAGTTTTCAAAGGGCAGCTCGAAGAGACAAAGCAAAGCAATATAATGAAATGTGAAGAGAGCTGGAATTGGATAATAAAAAGGAAATAACTTATTCTACATTTCTCAAGGTGAAAGAACTGAAAAACAAATTTAAGCCTTAAGTTCCAATATTAAAAGATGCTATAGGTAAAGAATCACAAGATGAGGAAGAAAGAACTGACACCGATAAATTCCAGGAAGTACCACATGAGCTTTGCCTCACATACTTAGGGAATGTTGCTGGGGGTGGGGGTGGCAAACTATTCCTTGGAGAAGTACATGATGCTAGGAAAGGTGGAGGGTTAGAAAAGGAGAAGGAGATTCTAGACCAGGTGGATTGACACGGTGACTGCTGCAACGGGCTCTGTGTCAGAAAGTGTGAGGATGGCTCAGGATAGAACAGGGTTCAGATCTTTTGTTCAAAAGGTCGCTGTGAGTCGTACTCAAGCAAACAGCATCTAACAACAACTCACAGCCACTTGAGCAGGAGCCAATAGCAATGGAGTAGAAGCTGCATTAACGGCACTGGCAAAAAAAATAAGTCCCCAGGAACTGATGTGATATCAATTGACATATTTCAATGAATAGATGCAGCACTGGATGTGCTCACCAGTCTATGCCAGGAAATTTGGAGGACAGCTGTCTGGCCAATGAATTGGAGGAGGCCCATATTTGTTCCCATTCCCAAGAAAGGTGATCCAACTGAATGTGAAACTACTGAACAATTTCACTAATATCATATTAAAACAAAATTTTGCTGAAGATCATTCAAAAAGTACATAGATATGAAACTGTTACTTGAGCACCACAACAAGATAAAGGTAAATAATCCAATAGAAAAATGGGCACAGAATATGAACAGACACTTCACCAACGAAGACATTCAGATGGCTAACAAGCACATGAAGAAATGTTCAAAATCCCTAGCTCTAAGAGAGATGCAAAGTAAAACAACCATGAGATACCATCTCACCCCAGTCAGAACTTCAAAATTTAACAGAACAGCAAGCAACAAATGCTGGCAAGGTTGTGGAGAAACTGGAATCCTTATTCACTGTTGTTGGGAGTGTAAAATGGTGCAACCACTGTGGAAGATGGTATGGCGCTTTCTCAAAAAGTTGCAAATAGAGATA